GCAGCCTGGGGGTCCCTGGTAGATACTGGTGGGCATGAAGAGCAGCCAGCATCAGGTCACCTGGTGGTCCAGGGACTCATGGAGGCCAGCATGAGAGGTCCCCTGAGGACTCACAACTTCAGGGGGCCTGGAACTCATTGAGAGGGGGCCATTCAGAAAAGATTACAGGCCAGGCATGATGGCTCACACCTGTAATCCCAGCACTCCTAGGTTGCTTGAGCCCAGGAGTTAGAGACCAGCTTGGGTAACATAGTGAGACCTTGTCACTACAAAAAAAATTCAAAAAATTAACTGGGCATTGTGGCACACCCATGTATTCTCAGCTACTCAGGAAACTGAGGTGAGAGGATCATCTGAGTCCAGGAGGTAGTTGTGAGCCGTGATTGTGCCACTGCTCTCCAGCCTGGGACAAAGTGAGATCCTGATTGAAAAGAAAAAGAAAAAGAAAAAATGATTATAAGTAGAAAAAAACAATCTCCAGGATCTGACTCCAGTTCCAAAGCTGTGCACCTTCTGTGCCTGGTCCAAGGTGCTGCACTGGGGTGAACTGTATGGCCCGTGAGATTGGCTAGCTCTTGAGCCACAAGTCCCTCAGGACGGTTGCCATGTGGCCCATAAGGGCCTGTGGGTAAAGCACTGCCCACCTTTTGGACCATCCAACCCAGCACCTCCTCTCTCACCCTCATCCTCAGCATGGGCTTCGAGTTGCGCCCTTTGACCCTGGCCGTGTGTGTCCAATCATTGTCTCTCACTCACCCCACTCTGCTCCTGCCACTAAAATCTCACCTCATTGCACAATTGGCCTCCTCGGTTGGGAACGTGTGCCCCAGGCGGCCAGAAATCAGAGTGCATGTCTGTTTCCATCACGGATGAGAAAGGTATGTGATGCTGCCCACGGCTAGCTGTCTGTGCATCCTTGTGTCTGTCTGGGTTGCTTTTGGCCTTCAGCCTTTTCCAGCACTTCCTTGGGGCCAGGTTGGTTGGACAAGTATGGTGGCCACTCCCCCATGGGCCATCAGCAGCAGCCAGTGAGACTTCTTGGGTAAACCAAGGGATGCTGTCCTACCTGACTCTCCGAGCCTTACCACCATGTCAGAGCCCCGGGGTGTCCTCAGTGGTGGGAGCTGGAGGGAGGGGCTGTCCTACCTCAGGGGCAAAGCACAGGGCTGGACCTGGGAAGGGAGGCAGCTCTGAGGGTCAGAGGTTTTTGGCCCAGTGCTTCCTGTGCATCCATGTCATGGACCCATTCACATGTTTACATGGAGGAGGAAGTGAGAACATCTGCTTGTACATTGAAATATTTTTGGTAGAAGGACATATTTTACTGGGCCTCTCAGGCCTAGTTCTGTTGTTCACCTACAGACTTGGTTCTCCAGAGACACCAGGTCCAGCAGCCAGAGAGAGACTACTTTGCAGCCCGCAGGAGCATCTCTGTGAAGGGTGGAGGGTTTGTCAATGTGCTGGCAGTTGCCTCCTCCAGAGGGATGCTCCTGGGGCTCAAGGCCACACCCCATGCCACAGCCGGTGGTTCCTCTTTGCCTTGTGTGTGGTGGGCCTGGCTGGCCCTCGGGATGGTATCAGTTTGGCCACCTCCCATGCTGACCCCAGCTCTGCTGGAAATGAGATAATGGCCTTCTTTGAGCCTGGAGGCAGTGTCACATGATCTTGGTCTTAGAGCTGTGGGAGGTGACCTCAGTGGGGTTCTGAAAGCCCAAGACAGCTTGCCTGGGTCCCCAGGCCTCTCCTCAGCAGTACAGTCATGGGCTGGTCCCCATAGGGAGCATGCTGCCCGTATTGAGCCTTCTACTAGCTGGCCTGTGTGGATGCCCTGGCGGGGAACGGCTCTATCTGCTTTCTAAACTCGTACGGGTCTTGTGAGACCTTGGCAGGGATGTCCTCTATGGTGCCCTTGGAGCAGCTGTACTAAGTCCACAGCATGTGAAGCACACGGCGCCCTCATGTTTCACGTGCATGCAGCCAGTACCCTTCCTCTGTGCATGGCCCAACAGCGAGTCTGTTCGCAGCAGCCCAGAGAGCTGTGCCTGGAATTGTAATGTCCTCAATGTTTGCAGAAAATATTCCAGAGTCCTGTGCATCCATGACGTAACAGGCTTTTATAGGAGAATATTGTGAAGATTATCAATAAATGAGAAAAGGCAGGAACTGACAATTTACAAAAGAGGAAATATAATTAACAAACATGTGACTAAACATAATTTCACTTTCCCAATCATCAAAGAAGTGCAATTAAAACAGCATGAGAGAGACACTGCACCTCCAGGATGGAGCAGAGCCTGGGAAATAATGCCCATCCAGCTGTCCCTCCTCTGAGGATCTGCCCGTAGGAACTAAATGGACGTGAAAATCCCCTGCCAGGTCTTTTTCCTGTTTCCTGGTGATATCCAGGAAGACAGACTCGGGAGCCACCACACATCCCACCTGGGAGACAGTCAGCAGATCTTGACAGACACCACACTGGGCACTCGTGAATAGGGAGGGAGCCTCAGGAGCACAAAGACCCCTGCAGGAAGGCTGGGACAGGTGGCAGGCACAGATGAGAAAGCCCTGAGCACAGCACGTGGGTGCTGTTTGCTGGGTGTGCTTCCCCTGTCCTAGCTGCTCGAGGGTGTCTACGTTTGCAGATGAAGAGAGTGGTCAGGAAATAGCTAGGCGCTCCCTGCATCCTACTTTCTGCACCACTTATGTCTCACTGTGCCTGGGACTGGGCATTACCTGTGTGGCCACATCCACCTTGTACCAGTGGCTGTCTGCTGGGTCCCTACCTCAGCACCTGTTTGCTAAACTTCAGTGAGGCACACAGTGGAGGCTCAGGGTGGGTGTCCTGGCTAGCAGGGCCTGACACAGTGGGAAGCTGTGGTCCCATGGCAGGGGGTGTGGGGTGGAGCTGACTTCTGCTCCCCCACCCCTGCCAGGCCCCACCAGCATAGCCTCCAAACTTTGATGTGCTTCCTCAGGTCCTGACTCCTATCATGGCTGCTCCCTCTCCTTATTGCTCACTACAGAGTGGCAGCAGGCACCTGCACAGGCCGGTCATGTGTGAGCGGTGCAGTTCACCTCTCCCCACCCATCCAGCCTCCACTCCTTCTCCACACCAGTGGCCTTACCCCATCACTGTGAACTTTCCAAATGTATCCATTGATGTGGGTCTTGAAAAGCCATGACTTTGAATGGGCCACAGAGACCCCAGTGCCATACCTGTGTCACCATCTCCTGGGAAACTTTTACGTTCATCCTCATTTCCTTGGGACTGAAGGGCAGGGTGCAATTGGCACCTGCAAACCCCATTGTAGCCACAGTTACCAAGCAGACCAGCCAGTCAGCCAGACGGATAGGGGAGAGCGTGGGTGACCAACATCAGAGCAGGGCTGTCTACCAGCCATTAGCTTTGCCCTCGGACAGTCACCAGGAGTCCCTGGGCCTGGTGAGCTGGACACATCAGCCTAGAGAGCGACCTGGGCAGCAAGGGCCCTTGGCCCCTCCTGTGCACCCAGCCCTGCCCACAGGCCAACTTCCTCAGATGTGACCTGGCATCACTGTGTCTGGGTTGATCCTTCACTGGTGCCAGCCCGCCTAGTCCCTGACTTCGCGGCTGAGCAGAACACAGGGGCTGGAGCCAGCCTCCCGTGAACTTGAGAAGCTCGGCTTAGCCAAGCTTCGGTGTTTTGACTTCCTGCCCTGGGACAGCAGCTGGAGGCTTAAGGATTCTCTGTCATGGGCTTCACCCTCCAGATGCTTAGGTGGGCGCCTGAGCTTTCCTGCTGGGGGCTGGTCTGTCCAAGCCACAGTGAGCTGTGTGGCCATGCGTTCCACATCAAGATACCAGGCCATCAGGGGAGTGCTGTGAACCCCTGGAACTCAAGAGCAGCCTGGCCATGACCCTCCTTGGATCAGATGAGAAGAGCTGCTATGGTGCTTGTTGCCCCAGTGAGGGCATGCCTGTCTGAGTTAGGGAGAAAGGAACTCACTCTGGCAACCCTGTGGAACCTGGTGCCGCCCCCTCCAGGCCTTGCGCTGTTAGAACCCAGCAGGGGCAGCTGCGGTAGTGTCCCCAGGACCAGTCATCCCCTGCCTCTCCTGGCCTGTGTACCAGAGAGCAGGACCAGCGAACTGCTGTGCCCAGGGGTGGTGTGGTGTGGGTACTGCCCCTTAATCCAGTTCCTCTCTTGGACCTGAGGTCTCCAAGCCAGGGCTGTGTGCTGGGCAGCCTCTGAGGCATGTGGGAGCAGAAAAGTAAGGGCTGTAGACAGGGCAGCTGGGACTCCGAGCTGCTAGCTTTGCTCGCTGGACCCTGTGCTGGGATCATGGGACCCACCTAGCCCTAATGGGAGAGACCTTCAGGCTGCACCTGGGCAGGGGCCAGGCTCCAGGACCTGAGGATCAGCCGAGGTACAGCTCAGGGCGTGACTGGCCCTGCTTCAGCCTCCCAGACAGGGAGGAGGCTGTTGGGAGCCCACAGGTGTTCCACAGAGGAGGCCCTGCTGCTCTCGAAGTCTGGGGCTGATGATTACCTGATAGTGTTGGGCTGTGGTGTGGGGCACAGACTCAGGGAGGCCAGACAGCTTAGTGGCCACAGCCCCACCCAAGGATGACTCCTGATGATGTCAGTACCAGAGCCACTCACTGATGCTGCAGACTGGTCACCTGTAGCAGGACTTGGGCCCGGGCACGTGGAAGATTCTGGAGTCTTGTGCTAAGGGCTCTGTTGGACAGTTGCAGCACCAGCAAGCACCTGTTCCTTCCTACGCACCAGAAATTGGTGCTGGAGACCAACTCTCTTCTCAACTTTGTTCTTCTTGCTGTGCTGGTCAGTGTCCCTTTCAGACATGCTTGCCCTCCTCCAGAGGCCAAGAGCCCTTTGACACTGCTGGGCCTTCACATTTGACCAACTCTGGGTGTCATTCTTAGGATTCGTTTAAATAAAAGTCACTATGGTAAAAACACTGAAGAAAACCTTTCAGCCTTCCCTTTATTTCTGTCAGGTCGAGCTCCAGAAACCAAAAGCCTGAATCTGGAGAAGGCTGGAGTGAAGACCAGTCCCAACAGTCAGAAGATTCTAGTGGACTCGCGGGAGGCCACCTCCATGCCTCACATTTATGCCATTGGTGATGTGGCAGAGGTAAGGCCTGTTCTTGGGGCCTGGGACCCCCTACCCACCTGCATACCCCCGCTGGACCAGGGGATTGCTGCCATGGCTGCTGTCCTGTGGGGGAGAAACAACCCTCTTCCATCAAAAAGTCTCTGGGCCAGACCCAGGGCTGGCAGGGCCCAGGCAGAGTTGGGTATCAGACAGTGCTTTCGAATGCTTCTCCTTTCTGTGCCAGTAGGCGTGGGACAACTTAAGAACAGCACAACCAGCAGATTCCTGCTGGGACTCCATCATGGGTCACCTATGCAGAATGCTCCAGCCCCCCACAAGTGGTTTGGAGCCACAGTCTTAGAAGTGCCACTGCTGAACACGGCCTTGGGGTCATCCTGTCCCCAGGATGAGCAACTGACCCAGTTCAGGGCCACCTGCCCCATCTTCCTTACTTCATTTTACCCTCTAATCTGTGACAGGTCACTACCCTTTCTGACTGGGTGCCACATGGAGACAGAGCCTCTTCTCCTGGCCACTGCCATGGAGTGGAGACCAGTGTCATTTTTCCTGGGTAGGGAGCTTGGCCTGGGGAGGCATGAGGGCACCATGGCACCCTCCCCTGTGTCATGGGCCTGAGCTAAGCTGCACCCCTGTTTCACTTCATCCCTGGGGAACAGGGGCTGCAGCACCTCTTGTAAGGCCTGGTGGAAGCCCCTGCCCCTCCATGGCCCCCAGCAAGAGACCTGCATGGGCAGTTGTGGGGTGCCACATCCCTACAGCCTCAGAACAAGCGGCCTGTCCTGTGTATGTCCAGCACATCCTGAGGAGGGCAGCTCTGGGGGTTCCTAGTCACCCAAGTCTGAGAGGTACCTGCCAGATCCCTCAGGCCTCTTCTTGGTGAGACCTGTCAGTGTCAGTGTCTGGGACTGCAGTGAAAAATTGCTATAGACTGGTAGCTTAGAACAACAGAAACTTATTCTCTCATGTTCTGAGGGTCAGAAGTCAGATCAGGGTGTAAGCAGGGCCACACCCTGCAGCAGCCTCTGTAGGGGGGGCCTTCCTGTGTCTCCCAACTTCCAGTGAGCCAGGCATCCTCAGGGGCAACTGCTTCATGCCCTCCTCTGCCCAGTATCCATGACCAACCCTTGCCCTGGTCTGTCTCTTATAGCTTTTCTCTTGTTAGATTTAGGGTCTCCTCTAATCCAGTGTGAGCTCATCTCAATCCTTACCTTAGTCATATCTTCAAAGACCCTATTTCCAAGTAAGTTCACCCAGGCAGACCCTGCTGGTCACGTGGAACCTGTCCAGTTGGTCTGTATGTGATGGAAGCAGGCGGTCTCCATGCCCTGCACTTGGCTGGGCATTGTGGTTCCTGGTATGATTTTTGCAAGCTCAACCTCAGCCTGTGGATGCGTGGATATAGTATCTCTGATCATAGATGTCTGCCACCTCCTGTGGGTGCTGCACCCTAAGCCAGTGCTGTGTGTGTCTCCATGTCTCAGAAACTTTCCTTCACTGCGAGCATGAGTCTGCTGGCCACGCGAGTGCTGTATACACATGTACACACATATATGTGCAGCTCCCAGGCTCCAGGCCCCATAGCACAGTGGAAACTAACGTTTTAGGCTGTGCTGCCAGAGATATCTGGCACATGCAAGCTAAGTACACTCCATCAGAAAGGCCATTATGGGCAGTGCCGTGAGTGGACACCCGTGGTCCTGTGGGGTGGTGGCTGAATCGGTGAGAAGCCAAGTGCTGTGCACATGGTGCTTCCACAGCTCGTCAGACTGGATGCACAGACCACCCACCTGAGTCCCTCTCTGCAGACCCTAGTCAATTCTGGAATGCCAGACAGCATCTGCACTTTCTGCCACAGAGGGGATTGGCAGCCCATCCTTGGATGCATGCAGGAACGCCAAAGGCAGGGCACCTCTACAGGGGGTCTCTGGCAGAGCCTCATTCTGACTAAGGAGTTGCTATGGTTGTGGCATGCAAGACAAGCTGTATGTCAGGAGCACGCAGAGTGGTTTTGGGCCTATTTTAGCCTCATTCAGTTGAATGTACTTGGTGGCAAGGTCTCTTGAGCCTGTCATAGAGCAGCTGTGGTGAGGTCTGCACTGTGAAGAAGGGGTGCACTTTCTCATCCAGGGTGGAGTGTGGCTGCAGGCCTTTTTCAGGAGCAGGGTGGGGGAAGCTCATGTGGGAGCAAGTGAACTCATGGGGCCTGGCGCCTGCAGGGTAGACCTCACCTCATGCACCAGGTAGCAAATAACAATGGGGGTTTTCAAAAGGGAGGCAGAGGATGAGGATTGGTGGCGTGGGGACTGCACAGACTCCTTGGATATGGTCTGATGTGGTCCCCCATGCTTCCCCAGGGGCGGCCCGAGCTAACACCCACAGCCATAATGGCTGGGAAGCTCCTGGCACAGCGGCTCTTCGGTGGGTCCTCAGACCTAATGGACTATGACAACGTGAGTGCTCTCACAGGGCAGCCCAACCTGGGAGAGGTGGTGATGGTTCTTCTGGGGCCAGGGGCCTGTGTGCATCTAAGTGCCTGTGTGTGTGTGTGTGTGTGTGTTGTGCACACATATGTGCATGTGCCTGTGTGTGTTTGGGCACATATGTGCATGGGGTGTGTGTGCTGTGCACACATGTACATACATGTGCCTGCAAGCATGTGTATGCATGCGTGTTATGTACATGTGCCTCTGTGTGTTTATTGTTTGTGTGTGTGTGTGCACGTGCCTGTGTGAGCACGTGCATGTGTGTTACTGTGCACTGTGTGCACACACATGCACGTACATGTGCACATATGTGGGAATGTGCATTTGCTGTGCACATGGCTTCGTGTGTGCAAGCATGTGTGTGCATGTGTATGAGTGTTGTGCACATGTGTTTGTGTACATGGCTACATGTGTGTGCACTGTGTGTGCAAGCATGCATGTATGGTTCAGCTCTGAGATTATGGCCTAGGAACGTGTGAGTGAATCATTCACTGTGCTTGTGGCCTGCTTGTCAGTGCGTCTGGGGACCTGGTCTGCGGTCACAACTCTGAGGGACCTCCCTGACTCCAGTCCTGCTTTCTAGGTTCCCACGACCGTCTTCACTCCACTGGAGTATGGCTGTGTAGGGCTGTCTGAGGAGGAGGCTGTGGCACGTCATGGACAGGAGCATGTAGAGGTGAGTCAGGCTAAGAAGAGATAACCAATGGCATCTCTGTGGCCTTCTTCCTGCAGAGGCCCTGCCCTGGAAGGAAGCCCTGTGAGCAGGTGTCAGCATCCATAGTGCCTTGGGGGCTAGATGATTGTAGACGAGGGAAGGGATGCATGGACTGGGGCACACTAGAGGGCAGCCCTGGAAACAAAGGAGGTCCAGGCCTCTGGCAGGCTTCAGAGAATGTCCAGGCCTTGGTGCCTCTGGTCTTGGTGGCTACCTGCTACCCTGTGTCATGGTAACAAGGAAAGGGCCGTGGGCTGCCTTGAACTGGGGCTAATGAGGCACCAAAGAGAGGCCTCATCACCCAGAAGCCCGCAGCTCTGCCCCCCCAGCCATACTGCAGGCGCACCCAGTACCATCAGGGTCCCCACCATGATGCCATCAGCTCCCCTGCCAGGATCCCAGGGTGGCCAAGTGACAGGCCCACTCCAGCCTGCAGACTACTTGTCCTTGAAGGCACCAGGGCCAGGCGGCACCTCTGTAGTCTCCTCCACATCGCAGGGGCACAAATCTCTCCTTACTGGAAAAGCTTCTCCTGGGGGTCTGACCTCTGCTTCCTTCCACCCCTGCCCCTCACCATAACTCCACCCTGTGCCATTCCTGCCTCCTATTCTCTTTCCAGGCTATTCCAGACTCAGGCACTCACCCTGGAGGAAGGGGCTTTTCTTCAGGCAGGGCAATATTTTGGCTCTGCTCCTGCAGGCAGACCATGGCTCCCTGGGGTGGCTGGAGAGATGTGGGCTCAGGAGCCTGCCAGCCATGGGTACTAGAGACCTCTGGCTGGCTTTATCTCGCAGCAGCAGCTTGCAGGTGCCCAGAGAAATCAGACCCCATGTGGCCAGGGTAGCAGGGCCCAGACCATGGGAATGAGCCCTGGGCTCCAGGGCTGGCCCTTCCCTGTGCCCAGTTCTCTCCATCAGTGGGATGGGCTGACAGGCCGCCCCCACCATCGGGCCCTCTATTTGCTGTTTTTGTTGGATTCAGCATGAGTGCACCGAGACATATGTTCATGACTTTTTATGATGTTGTTTTATGTTTCACAATGTCGAATGGCCAAATACCCTTTGTTTGTTTTCTTTTCGATTCTGTCTTTGCTAAAACAATATTCTCTGAAGCTCTGTTAATTAATAATAGCTGTGCAGCACATGTGAGGCCCTGCTCATTTTTTATTTGCTGCAGCCTTGGACACACTGTCGAGCCCTTTGCGGGTGCTGAAAGCCTTTGTCCGACAGCTCCAGTGTGGCCACGGCCGCCTCACTCAAGTGAGGGCCGGCCAATCGCCAGGATGCCCGAGGGAGCCTGGGTGGCCGCCCGCCCACCCATCCTGCCCCACCGTCAGTTGTGGGGTCTGCGTTGACTGTCAGTGCTCCCTGGGGGCACCAGGTGCCCAGCCTGGAGCTCTGTGATGTGTCCTAGTGGGAGTGTATGGACAGCCTAGTGCCCACGCTGCTGCTGTGGTTTATAGGGGTGTCAGTAGAATAGGGTCCACCCACAGAATGGCAGCAGCCCCCAGCTGCCTGCACTTGGGAGAGGGGGACACTCTCTGGAGCCAGCTAAGCCAAAACCTCTCGCCAGACCATACCTTTGGGACAAATGGATGGTTCTAGGTCCCTACTGCGCCACTGCCATACAGTCTGCTGGAGCTACAAATCACCATAGACTTGTTTTGGCACAGCCACTGACTCCACAGGTTATCTGTCACCAGGTTTATCACGCCTACTATAAACCGCTGGAGTTCACGGTGGCTGAACGGGATGCATCCCAATGTTACATAAAGGTGAGTGTCTTGCAGACAAGGCTGGGCACTGAGGTCAACAGGAGAGTGGGGGAGAGCCGAGCTGGGTGGACGGGCCAGGCATCCAGGCAGAATAGCTGGGCAGGGTAGCCAGGTAGACAGACAGGATGGGTGGGTGGGGTGGCCAGGTGGCTAGGCCATGTGGCTGTGGCTGAGACATGCGCTTTCAGATGGTGTGCCTCCGGGAGCCCCCACAGCTGGTGCTGGGCCTGCACTTCCTTGGCCCCAACGCTGGCGAAGTTACTCAAGGATTTGCTCTGGGGATCAAGTAAGTTCACAAAAGCATTGCTGCTCTGTGATACACGCTGGTATCCCTTCAGTGCTGGCAGTACTGCAGTGGAGAGTCACCATGTCTTATGTTGCTTCTACGTGGCTTGCGGTGTCTGCAGCAAAGAGTCTTCAGGCTGCCCTCAGAGGGGCAGACGTGAGGGATAACAAACAGCTCCTCCAGCAACGTTGCCAGCCAGAGTCCTGCAGCATGGCCGCTGTAGTTGGCTGCCTGGGGGCTACTGTGGCTCCAGGTCTCTGTTCTGGACTTTTCATTCAATACAGTCAGAATGAGCAGGGTTGGGGTCCTTGCTCTCCGGGCTGAGTCCCCAGGCTATCGTGAGCAGGGACCTGGGAACTGGAGAAAGCCAGCGGAGAAGCGAGGCCAATACCCAGAAAGGCTAAGGAGGGCTTTGTGAGTGAGATGGAGAGTCAGACTGGACACCCTCAGCAGCCTGGACCCTCAGTAGGGCCACCCCATCACCTGCTCCACCATGGTCCTCCTAGTCCCACACACATACATGTGTGCAATCACTCATGGCGGGGTTCTCCTAGCATAAGGACCTCAGAGGGGAGCAGGGATAGCTGGGCCCAGGTGTGCTCGTCCTGGGACACGTGTTTGCAACCTTGAAGCTGCGGAGCAATCTGTGGCAAAGCCACATTTGGAACTTCGGTCCAGCGTGACCAGTGAAAGAATGCTGTGAGCCTCTGCAAGAGTCCTGCAGATTCCACAGGGGTGTTGGCCTTAGGTTTAAGAAGAGCAGCTATGGGTGTCCCCTGGAGCCTGACCCACTGACCTGTATGTAAGTACTAGCAGGCGAGACCATTCACAGCACCACCTCTGGCCTGGGGTTTCTTAGGCCAACAGGGAACAAGGAGAGCCCTGGCCCTTCCACGAGGCCATCACCATCTGTAGATTCTGTTATCAGGACTGACACTCAGCTTCCAGAACAATTTCTAAAAGGGCCTGTTAAAATGTGGCAGCCCCACTAGGCACAGTGGCTCATGCCTGTAATCTCAGCACTTTGGGAGGTGGAGATGAGAGGATTGCCTGAACCCAGGGGTTTGAGACCAGCCCGGGCAACTTGGCAAGACCTCTCATCTACAATCAATCAAAAACTTAGCCAGGCATGGCGGCACATGCTTGTAGTTTCAGCTACTTGGAAGGATTACCTGAGCCCGGCAGGTCAAGTTTACAGTGGTCATGAGCATGTCACTGCACTCCAGCCTGGGTGATAGGAACAACTAACAAAAAAAATGTGGCAACCTCCTTTTATAATGCAACTGTAAAGAACCGGTTTCCTTAATATACAAAGAGCTCTTAAAAGTCAACAATAATAATCATAAAGTGGTAGAGTAAACAACTCAATAGAAAAACAAAGAACATGAATAGGAAATTCACGGGAAAAGAAAATGAAAATAAACAGTAGAAAGCTCCTGTGCCCTGGAAATTTAAAATTTAGAAATTTAAAGTGTAACTAAAAAACATCAAGGAGCCAAGGGAGGTGGCCCCGATGTGGGACTGTACCTGGCAAGGAGAGCAGCAGGAGGCTAGGCCAGAGCAGGCCAAGGAAAGGCTGGGGCGGGCACTGGGCATTTACTGGGAGGGAGGCAGGCGGCCCAACAGGTGTTGGTGAATGTCCTGGCTGCTGGCTGGAGAAGAGGTTGGGGACAGTGAGGAAATCAGCCACATCAAGGCCCCTCTTCCTGAGACAGGCTGGTATGGACATGCATCCCCACAATGACCCCCTCACCCATCTCCCCACCCCCATGTGTAGGTGTGGGGCCTCCTATGTGCAGGTGATGCAGACAGTGGGCATCCATCCTACCTGCTCTGAGGAGGTGGTCAGGCTGCGCATCTCCAAACGCTCAGGCCTAGACCCCACCGTGACGGGCTGCTGAGGGTAAGCTGCCGTCCCTGTCAGCCGAGGCACACGGTGCCCACACCGCTAGACTCCATGAATGGATCCAGGTACGCAGGTGGGGCAGGTGTCATGTATGAGGACGGGGCAAGTGGTGAGGGGTATGGGAGCCACCACCAAGACACACTTTGTCCAGGAGCATGGTGAGGCTGCATCTCCCGTGTTGCCTGGAATAGGGAAGCCCCGTCCCATGCCAGAGCTGCTGGAGAAGGACTGCCGGAAGCCTCGGGAGTGTGTTGTCCATGGCAACTCTATTCTGAGGAGATGGATATGAAATGTCCCTCCCAGAGGTGCCTATGGCCAGAGCCACCCCGTCTCTCAGTCTGACAGAGCATCCCTGAGCCTTGCCCAGACTGGGTCCCTGAGGCAGGGTGCCCTCAGGCCTTTGTGGTCCAGCCTACCATGGAGCCCCCAGCTATTGGCTTCTCCTAGACTGGGGTACCTTGGGGCCCCTTTCTCCAGGCTGAGCTGGAGATTGTTGATGGAGTCATGGCTCCCTCCAGATGCCTGCGGGCAGGCTCTAGAGGCCCTGGGGCACTGAGGTATCCTGGGGCGGCCCCTCTGAGCACTCAGGCACCCTGTACACCAATGGCCCTCTCCAGACAAAGAATGCCCTGAGAAAACCCTTAACAGAATTTTACACCTGTCAGAGCTGTTTTGTTAAGAGCTTACTACACATTTTTATCATTTCAAAATATTTTGGTAGTACTACGCTGCTCCCTGTGGCACAGCAGCCAGGAGCGGGGGCACTGTATGGGGACTCGCTCCTCACCATCTAGAAGGTCTCTTTGTATGGCTGCCTGTGCTGACCTCTCCCTTTGTTGGCAGGACTGTTGGCGGCTGGGCCCAGTGGGCCTCGCCTTACCCCTGGACAGCCCGTGAGAAAGTTGGCATGGAGCACGTGCTGGACAGACGACCTGTGTGCCCCACAGGGACGGCAGGGGCTCTCAGCCCTCATGCCCAAACCTCTTGCCCCCCACCCTCCTGCCTGAGCCAGTGGCCCCAGGTGCTGATGCCAGATGATGACGACCTGGGCAGAAACCCACCATGTGGGCTGCTCACGTCTGAGCCCCTGGCATTTCTGGAGTGCAAATAAAGAGGTTTTCCTGAAGCTTGCTCTGCCTGCAGAGTCCTTGACACACTCCCGGGATTGCCTGAGCTGTGTGGTCTAGCCAGCCCCCCAGCCTCCTTGCAGAACCTGAGTGACTTCCAAGACCTGCCATAAGGGTGGCCCGGGGTAAGCGGGGCCATGGCAGCCCTGGGCACGAGTCCCCAACAACCACGGAGTTAGGGAGCAGCCTGCGGTCTGGGGTGGAGCAGGAGGCAGCGCCCCCACCCCCCTCTGCAGCTCAGCCTGGGGCCTAAAGATACCTACTGAGCTTTGCCCTGGGGACCCTCTGCCCAGACCACTGCGAAGTTCTTGGCACTTCATGCAAGGAGGGTTGCCCAGTGCCTGGCAGGTGCCCAGGAGGGGTGGCTACTGCCATGGGCTTTGTCCTAGAGCATCCCACCCACAGTGGCTCCACAGGAGTTGGCAGGGCTGTAGATGCTCTGTCCCCGAATGTCAGTCACCTCAGGAGTTCCCATTGTGGCCCTCCAAGTTGGCTGGTCGGCTACGTTAGGCTAATCCTGTGCATTGAGGCTTGATGGGCTGGGAGCGCCTGTCAGTCACTGCCGAGACACCACGCTGACAGCCGCGGGCAGGGCCGGCATTGTGCTGGGGCTTTAGCGGCGGCTGATCGCGTGTCTTCCTTAAGAAAACATCACTTAGTCTGCCGGCATGCACTGGATGGGACCCTGCTTGTCAGCCACAAAGGAATGCCTTGCACCTCAATGGGCCACAGAGCCTCGCAGTGTGAAGCGTGTGGAGCTCTCAGACGCCCAATTAAGATGCCAAGTGCTGGGCTGGGCCTCCAAGTGCAGCTCCAGATCAGCCGTGTCCCATTTAACGCACGGCTGGTCGCGCACCCGCCTCCCACACGGATCCTGGGGAGAGAGCTCCCTCTGGGCTGCTGAGGCCTTCCCTGCCTTGGAGGCAGAGTGCTGGACTGGGGGTGTCAGCTAACACCTGCCTCCAGGGCTGTGGGTGGGTAGGGTTGGTGGGAGGCTGTGGATTCCTCAGCCCTGGGAGCAGCCCCACATGGCCCCTGAAATGGCCATGTTGCTTTTGTGATGACAGAAGGGGTACAGCTGTGGGGCCCTCAGGATACAGCACGTGGCTCTCAGGCAGAGCCTCTCGCCTCCCTGCCCACCCGACCAGGAGGGCCACCCATAGTCAATGTCCCTTCCGGCTTGCCAGGTGGTTTGCCCTGCGTGCCCCTCTTCCCAGAACACATTTTACACCAGCACCCCTGCTGTGTGTAGCCTCTGTTCTCTCCACGCTGTCTGGTCCATTCCCCTGTCCTACGTCATCACCTAGGAGGGACTGAAGCAGCTGCTGCACACATCCCAGAGGCTGCAGAACCTGGGGTTCCCACTGCAGAGGGGAGTGGGCAGCGGGCAGGTATTTGGCCCAGCTCATGAGCAGGGGATGTTCCAACTGAAAGTCAGTCACTACATGCTTTGGGCTGCAGCCCCCTCGGGGCCCTCAAGGCCAGGTGTTGTATCAGCAGGCACTGATGCGTTCCACACCCCACTGTTGGTGGGACACTGGCCCAGAGCAAGGGAAGGGCAGTGTGTGTTGACCTATCGCGTCCCCAGGCTGCTCCCTAGATTCTTGGGCCACACTCAGGGCAGGGTGGGTATGTGGGCTGGCAGTGGTTTCTATCCCTGTGTCCCTGGGTACGCCCAGCCCTGTTCTGGACCCGCCCCTGCCCTGTTCCTCCTCCTGGAGAGTGCAGGGAGGGGCTGGAGCGCCACAGGCCAGGTGCTCTCCACCTGGCCCCGGGGCCGCCTTCCCACTGCCTTTGCATGTTTTTATGGTGCAATGAAAATATGATTTTAATTCCTCGGATTGTTCTGTGCAACCTGCAATTACCCCCGGCGACGTCGTGCACACTTCAGCTGTGGCTCCAGATTGCGCAAGGACATGGGAGGGAGAGGAGGGGCGGGGACCGCCACTCCGGCAGAGAGACTCCACTCTGCCTTACCCTCCCTCTGAAGTGGGGCGGGGTACACACCCTCTCTGGGCCCCAGCCCCAGCCCCCGGCATGATATTGGGCAGGTCCCAAGGTCCCCTAGGAAGCCAACTCACAGAGAAGGGGTGACATGCAGCTACAGGGACATCCTAGGCTCTAGGGTGCCACAGGGGAGGCCAGGGTCTGCGGGGGCTTTGAGGAGGGGTCTGGGACAGGTGGCAGGGGTGCAGCAGGGGGTCATGGGTTCATGAGGGATGGGTGATGAGATGCTCAGACTGCAGCCCTCTACCCCAGCAAACCACAGGACACTGGGACCCCCAGCTTTAAGCGGCAGCCTTGGAGGCCAGTGTCTTGGCTGGGCTTACCTGGCTGTGACATGACCTCTGTGTCTGCCTGTGCTGGCTTTGTAGGCGGAGTTGTCCCTGTGAGAAGCAGCTGCCATCAGGCAGGGCTGCCACTGCCTGAGCCCGGTCCTGAGGTTGGGCTCCGCCCACAGGCCCCAGCCTGGTGTAGCAGCACAAGTTGCTGCCAGGCCCCTGGGCTCCAGCCCCTCCCCAAGGTGTAGCAGGTCTAGGGGGCAGACCTGGAGCCCCACCTGTCCCTCATCCATTAGGTACAAAGCTCAGGCCACCCAGGACCCTGCCCAAGGAACACCCAGAAGTGGCTAGAAAGTATACTTGTCAGGGTGGGGCCATGAGGCCACATAGACCCCTCCAGACCCTGTTTGGGCTCCAGGCACCTGTACACACCTGGTTCTGGCTCCTTCCTCATGTTGTCACTGCCCCACACTCATGTCTCCCTGGGAGGACACAGGTTGGCATCTGGCTCCTACGGTGACATCTTGAGAAGTGTGTCTGTCTTTGCTGGGTGGCAGATGGGGGCTGTTCCTGCCTCCCTGAGCTCAGAGCTGCCCACACTCCCAGTCCCAGGATGCTCCCTTCACCCTGTGTCCCTCTGGGAGCCATTTCCCCTCCCTCCAGGGTCCCTGGGTACCCCTATTCTGGAGGAGGGCCCTGGCCTCTGCTCATCTGTCCACCCTCCTTCCTGACACCCACCCCTGGTCCTGGTCATGGGGCACAAGAGGGTCAACATGAGTTGGTCTTGCCAGACTCTGGACAGAGATCCCCTACCCGAGTGAGTGGAAAGCAGCAGTGGGTCCCTGTCTGAGGCAAGCAGAGGGCACTAGGTGGCGAGGGCAGGTGGCACAGGCCCGTCAGGTGCCAAAGCCCAAGCTCAGTGCCCACCAAGGCCAGAGCACATTTCTGTGAAGACACAGCCCCATCAGGAAGCATCTCTGTCTGAACTGATACTCCATCCAGACAGACCTGAGCCAGGTCTTGTTCCTGGGGGTGGCCCCCAGCCTCAGAGCAGATGCCTCCTCCTGGCTCCAAAGTCAGGCTGCGGACTCTTGCCTGGCCTGGGGAGCTGTGGACCTGTGCCCAACCCACACTGGAGCAGAGAATGTGGAGCAGAGAATGTGGGTGGGGTGCTGCCCCTTCCACAGCTCTAGCATCCCACTACGCAGGACTGTTCCAGCAGGGCCTGGACTGGAGGCCCCCACGCCACTGGGGACCCTGTCTGCCCACTTAGGGCCCTGACCCCTGCCTCTGCCTCTCACCTGCTAGATTTGGCATGGGAAGCTTACTGACTGCTTAGAGAGGTTTCCAGACCTTTCTCCCTGGGCTTTTGTGGAGCCTCAGGCAGCAACCCCAAGCCTGTCCCAGTGGGGCCACCAACACAGAAGACCCCCTAGAGGTACCACAGGCTGAGGAAGGGGCCACTGATGTCTTTGGGCTGGCCTGCTTCTGCCTCGCTCCTTCATGCCTCCCGGCCCTCTTCATCAGGGCCAGTGGAAGCCCACAGTCAGACAGGCAGTCTGTGCCCCACCTTGTTTCCCCTTCCTCTGCCATCATCTTAACCCGAGCTCTCTGGCCGGGCATGCACAGCTCCAGGAGCTGCCTTAGGTCCTTCCTGTACCAGGCAAGGAGGTATGCCAGTGTCCCGGCTGCCATCCAGAGCAGAAGGCAGGCAGGCAGGATCTCCCATGCCCCTCTGCACATCCAACTAAGGGGCACCCTGATGCACCACTATGCCAGGGGCTTCTCTTCTGGGGTCTTCCAGGCAGGCTGGGGGCTCCCTCAGTGCTGTGCAGACCTAGCTCTGCCCAGCTCCCTACCCAGGCTGGTACCCAGCTCCCACAGGGCCAACTTTGGGGAGAGAGCTGCAGGTGCCCCTCAGATGGGCTGATGAGGGTGGAGCTGCAGGCGGGCAAGGGCTGTCCACCCATAGACCAAAACACTCTGCTTGGGAAACAGCTGGACAGAAGATTCTTCAGCAGGCCAGAGATGCCGAGACTGATAATGGAAATGGAGGTGACTGAAGGACCCGGGTCTGGGGCAGTGGAGGTATAGGGAACCCAGGCCGCCATGCCCAGGTTCTCCTTGGAGTTGCCCCACAGCAGCCACAGGCTGCAGGGCCCACCTCCAAGCCCTGCAGGTATGGCTGGTGCCATCACATCCTGCTCCCAGAAACACAGTGACAGGGTGAAGTTTTGCCAAGGGCTCAGGACGTGCAGCTGGCACCCTGAGCTCCCGCAGCCTGTGACCAGCATCCAGCTCGGGCTGGTGCCATGGGTTCTCAGAATCAGAGCATAGCAGCCAAGCCTGTCTGCATGCACCAGGAGATGAGGACTCAGATGCCTCTACCTGTCCACACACAGTACGTGGCCCACTGCCTTGTGGTCCAGGTCCACCATATGCTGGGTCTTGCTGCTGTTGACACCCAAGACAGATCTTTCGGGAAACTCTAGAAAGAGGAGAGATGAGACTTTGGGCCCATTTTCCAGATGTTGCTTCTCAATCCCAGTGAGCTTGGTCTTGGAAACAGTCAGAGCCACAACCTTCAGATCTCAGCCTGGTGTCCCAAGCCTTTCACACTTTCCTGAAGAACCACCCAAACAACCCCTTCTCACTCCTGCTGTCCACTCTTCTATCCCTTGTCCTCGTGGTCCAGCTCCTCAAAAGTTCCCTAGTTTTTGG